CATTTTAAATATGGTTATAATTTCTGTTCTGCCACCTGCAAGCTGCTAGTTTGTCAACAGTGGTGATGTTTTTGGCACTGAGTTACTGCCTTCTGATTTTACTGACCTTAAGATTCATTTGATTGTGCAACGAATGTCCAAAACCTAAAGGGAAGCCTCGTTCATGGAGGTATTTCAAACTGGATTAGACAAAGCATTAGAAAAAAATCTTCTCTGGCAAAGGGGAGAAGTGCTAAGCAAATATTAATAATAAGATTAACATAACTGTATAGTATATCTTTACATAGAACTTTCCTAGGACTAAGAAATGCTACTTGATTGAAGAGCTTACAGTGTCAGAGAGGCAAGACAAAGATGAAGCAGAAGAACATGAATCATAGAAGGAATAGCATGGAAATTATAGATGATGAGAATAAAATAGGATGGATTTCTGGATAAAGTGGCTCTTGGGAAGGAACAATTGGAAGGAAGAGAGAGAGAGGGTGTTTGGACTTTTCCAAGTGTAAGGGGCATGTGACAGGAGCATCAATATCAGAGCCTTCCTGGGAGTGGCTCCGCCCTCCTGTAATGGGCCAACCGCCTGCTTACTCACCTGCCACGCCTTGATCTTACTTGATTAGAAGATGGTTGTAATCAGCGGGAGGCTGCCCATTTTTCTGCGCCCCAGTGACAGGGGGCACTACCTGTGGCTCCTTTTCCTCCCCTACACCGCAGCCGAAGCCTTGCAGATGGAGTTGACATGGTCTGACCTGGGCCTTGTTATGTTCTGGCCCTCCTCTTTACTCTTGGGGCTCCTCACTGCCCCCCCCCTCTCTGGGGCTCCTTGCTGCCCTCTCTCTCTCTCTGGGGCACCTCACTGCCCCCCTCCTGGGGCTCCTCGCTGCCCCCTTCTCTCTCAGGGTTCCTCACTGCCCCCCTTCTCACTTTGGGGTTAGGGCCACTGCACCCCACAAATGCTGCACCCTCTCAGGTGCCAGGAATCCCCACGCTACTGGGGAGTCCCTATGAGGCCTCCTCCAACCCCTAACAGCCTCACCCGGTCCTCCAGTCAAAACAGTAAACATAAAATATAAAGCCCCTGGGCTACAAAATAAAACTAGACCATCCGGTCAAACAAAAATCTACTCCCTACTAGACCGCGAGGGAAGAAGGGCTCCACCAACCTCAGCAGTGATCAGGGGATGCTCTCATGGCCAGAGTCCTCCCCTCTGTTTGTCTGAGCTGAGTCCCTACTCCCACAGCTGCTGGAGAGGGACTGCCTTCCTGGCCTCCTACCTGGGCTTAAGAAGGGATAAGCCCTGCCCCTTCCTGGTCAGCTGGTTTTACCAGTTGTCCTGGCAACCAGCACCTGTGCAGCCCTGGTGACTGGCAGCTGAGCCTCCCCCTTTCTGCCACTAGGGGTCTCCCCAGAACAGTCTCCGCTCTCAGGCGCAGGGCACCTGAGTGCACTGCGACAGGGCAACATAAATGAAAGGGGGAGAAGGGGTAAGTGTATTTAAGAGAAAAGTTTGTGAGCAACAAATGGGCAATGACAAGAAAATTTTCTCACTATTAAAAAGATTATGCTTGCCAACAGCTTCTTCACAAGAGTGTCTGAGATCAGTGCTCCTCTGTGCCTAGAATCGCAGGCAGTGCTGTGTGACAACTGCAGACATTTTCAAAAAGAAACATGATAGAGGAAAAACGAGAGAGATTTAAATGGGGCAAAATTAAGCAAGGCCTTGAAGGTGAGGTAAAGAAGCTGTAGTGTTATTCAGTAATGTCTGATACAAAGCCCTATCAAGTCAATGGGAATCTTTCCATTGACTTTAACGGGCTATGAATCAAGCCTTGACTCAAGAAAGTAGTGATGTCATTGGAGTGATTGATGCATCCGCAGTTTGAATAAATTGTAGGGTGGAGAGTTAAATACCAGCCATAAAAGAGAGAAAAAAGAAAGGTGAGACACAGCTAAGGCATAAAGAAGTGTTTCTGCTGGAGAGATAGTAAGTAAAGGATGGCAGAGAGGTATATCAGAATGAAGTACTGAGACACTGGATGTTAGGTAAAATGGAGAGAGAAGAGGCAAAGATGAGAATAGAGTTACAAACCCAGGAGATGCAAAAGACCAAATGAATATGAAAGGATCACAGAGCTGAATGAGCATCCACTTTGAAATTCAACTGAGGTTTTATGTGCCCTTGCCTGTTTGTGTGTGCCGATTAAGTCCTGGGCAGGAAGAAATTTGTTATTAATAATTTAGATGAATCGGTAGTATTTGACAAGACAAATTATTAATTGAGAACTTGCTGTATGTCCAAAACCTTATAGAATCTTATGGTTGGGGGAGACCTCAAAGGTCATCAGTCCAACCACCTGTATGAATACATGAATGCTGTCCCTAAATCACCCCTCTCCAATGCTTATGTAACCTCCTCTTGCAAACGTCCAATGAAAGAAATACCCTGGACAATGAATTATTGTTCTAAAACGTAGGACTTTTTTATGATATCTAAACTAAATCTACTTTTCTGCAGTGTAAAGTCATTGCTTTGTATTTTACTGTCTACAGGAAGGGAGAACAGGTATTGCCCCTCTTTATGGCAGCCTTTCAGTTATTTGAATATTGGTATCAGGTTCTCCACAACTGCCTTTTCCCATAAGCAAACATGCCCTCTCTCAACCTTTCCTTATAAAGCTTGCCTTGCAACCCCTTTTTCATTTACATTATCCACTTCTAGACCCTTCTCCGCGTCCTTCTTAAAATGTGGAGCCCAGAATTGTACAAAAAGAGGACAGGTTATTAATTGGTATATATACATTGGTATTCCAGTTAATGCAGCCCAAAATTACATTTGCCTTTATTTCAACTTCATCACATTGCTGTCTCAAGTCTGTGATCCATCAAAACCCCCAGTTCTTCCTAAGCAATGCCACCACCCATCCAGTTATCTCTCATTCTGTGTTTGTGTTTTTGATTATTTTTCCCTAAGTGTAACACTTTGTTTTTGTCTGTGTTGAAAACAGTTTGCATTAGAGAGATACTAGCAACTCAAATCCCCCTGTTACCAGTAAAAAGAGCTTAGACTGTTTCCTGAATGGAGTGCACTATAGATTTACCAGTATAGATTTACCAGCTATGTTGATTAAGGATGTGATTTTCTTTTTACCCACACATCTAAACAATAGGGCTGTGCAAAGCTTCGGTCCCTGATTCAATTCAGCAGAGATTCAGCCCACTTCAGTGGCCAAAACTCTGAATCTGAATTGAATCAGAGGACCCTTTAATCTCTCTGAATTGAACTGGAACCCTTGATTCAGAGAGATTTAGAAAGATTCGATGATTCAGACATAGACACAGTTTTACATGTTTTTTCTACATACCTCAAGGTATCAGGCATGGCTTGTGAATGCTACGATGCTGGGGCACATGGAGCATCCCACAGGAGCACGGGGGCACTCCCCAGCGTGCTTGGCAGCAGACCCAGGGACCTACCAAAGAGTGTGCTGGGGGGCCTCCCTGCACTCCCTGGGCTCAGCGATTGGTGCCTCCTGCATCTGTACTTCTGGTCTACTTCCAGGTTCACTGCAGAGGATGCGAGCATCCTTCAGGACTCCCTCCCCTCCCCTGAACCCCTGTGCGATGCTCCATCTGCCCCAGCATCTCAGTGTTCATGAGCTGCACCTGGTACCTCAAGGTATGTAGAAAAAACATTTAAAGCTGTGTCTATGGCCGAATCACTGATTCTCTGAATCAGCATCAAATCTTCAGATTCAGCCTAATCAAATCAGGGACAGCGATCCGAATCAACAAATTGAATCACTGTCCCAAATTCGGGCTGAATCAAATACGGCCCATTTCGCACACCCTTACTAAACAACATAGCTATGCTGGCAAAACCTTTAAATATAGACCAAATCTAAGTGTGTTGCGGGATGTTTATAGCAGTAAAGCCCCAGTGCTGACAGAGATCCTAAAAAATATATATATCTCTAAATTCCCTTGCCCCCTACTAATGTTAGTCAATGCAGGCAAAGCTGTAACTCCTTGTACCTGTGCCGACCCAGGGGCAGGTCCAGAAAATCTTAATTCCTCCCCAGCAAATCCCCTGATTTGATTCTTACAGAGGTCTTTTTTTCTTTTCATAGAGCAGCATTTTTCCACTCTCGTGTATTTGAACAGCCAGATACCCTAGTCTGTGAGCAAAGCTGCTCCTACACCCTGCCAGGCCTTCATGCTCCATGCCTAGCTAAGTGAGCATCGGTAAAGTAGCCTTTGCTCTCACCAATCTGAATGGAGTTGCAGCCTGAGCAGAGCTGTAAGTGTGGGGCATGGGGACATGGATGCAGTGAAATTTATTGCTTCTGACTCCCTTGTAGGAATGTGTAAGGCCTGTGGCAATCTAGCCTTAATGCAGTGGTAAAAGCCTGGTAAGTATCTCCTCTCCCTTTTATTCGGTTTGCATGTTATACTCTGGGGTAACAGTTACATACACTGAGTGAACTATCCTGGAGAAAGCCAAAATTTAAGTGATGTGCAGGCTGAAGAAGTCTTCAGGGCATCAAGGAAGACCTGCATCACTTTTAGAAATGGGGCCAACGACATGACATTTGGGCCTGAATTCAGGTTTGTTTAGCTCCAGGATTTTGATGTGAGTTTTCCTAATTACAGTGCATTCACTCTTTCATTTAAGAGCTGGCAGAAGGTATTGCCCTTTTTATTACTCTCTCTACTTTGTAGTCTTTTAGGGAAAGGGCTAAGATATATGGAAAATAATCTTTCAAAGCATTCTAGGAAGCATGTTCTGAAATATGGTAGGATTCTTTGATAGATGGTGTTTAGTGTTCTGAAGCCCAGAGAACCATGACAAATCTTTCTAATCTGTTTCATGTAATCTTGTTTTTATCTAATGTAATCTCTGCATCCTATCCTCTTTGCATTTATATATAGCATATTGCCTTCCAAAAAATCCCCACCAGCCGTGAATCCTAACGTGCATTTCTTTGTTTCTTTCCAACAGCTGGCTGTCCAGACTCCTTGATTAAAGAGCTTCATCACTTCAGAATTCTGGGAGAAGAACAGGTGAGTTAACATCGCAAAGGCAGCGTCATAGTGTCATGAAAGATAGACACTAATGAGATAGTTTCGTCTCTCTCCAGGGAAGCAGTGTGTGTCTCATGACCCTTGTGCCCTGAATGGGGGAGAAAAACACGCAGGGGATCTATGTGAGAATATCTTTTTTTTTTATTCTATCCATCAGTCTTGACAGGTTATTAATTGGTACATCTGCTATCTGCCACCACTTTTCAGCTTGGGACTTCAGCAGTAAACAGGCTCCATAAAGTGGCAGATAGGCAAACAAGAAAATGCAAGGATGAAGTCTGCCTAAGGGATAGATATTTATAACTATCCACAATGTGATCTGTGTCTTTGTAGTCCAAAAATGTCCAATATTTTTAATGCCTTTTTCTTATTCATAATGATAACAATGCCTAGAACACTTCCAATGCTAGAATTTCACAGAATCTCATGAACAAACCTTACAATGCTATGGGATGTGGGCATTGTTCCCATTTTGCATATGCTAAAATCAATGCGCCAAGCAATTGAGAACTTTGCCTTCTATTTTGCACGGTTCATTTTTGGGATGCTAACTTTTGGATGAAATTTTCAGTGCCCAGCACTCAAATCAGACCCTCCGTGCCTTAATTTGGGCCCTGCAGAAACTGAGGCAGGCAACCAAAATTAGAAGCCAGGTTTAAATGAGAATTAAGCAAAATTTAGTTCTAAAATGGTGATCCAAAAATCCCATGCTCAGGTGCTGCCTCAACTCTAGGTCCTTTGGTTTTCAATATTACCCAGGCATGTAGATTGCACCTTGTACTTGTCCATCTGCCCCCAAACTGCAATTTATCCAGTGATTATTTGGTGTAAAATTCATGAGTAGTCCTTAGAATCATTTCCAGAATTCAGGACTCCCTATTCTCCCAGATAGATGCCATAACAAATGTACTGTGGGACAAAGAGACTAGAAATAGGAACCTGTGGAAGGGGGAAATGGAGACAGAATTGAGGAGAGAAGACAAATCTGACAAGAAAATGGGAACAAGAAGAGAATGAGGACTCACTAAGCAAAGGGCTTAAGAGAAAGAACCATGAGGTGGAAGGGTGAAGGACACCAGCAACAGAACCCACGGGGAGGGCCTAAGACTGGATCACTGGTGGGAGGGAAGAGAGCAACTGGATGATAAGCTAAGAAATGGGAGACCAGGAATGCCTGGTGAAGGTAAGCCTGGAAACAGAAAGATAATTTGAACTGACCAGGCAGTCTGAGATTGGGTGTGGAGAAATGGAAAGAGTGGAAGTGACAGGGAAGACTCAGATGTGGACTCAGAGGGAGAGACTAAAAATATCTGGTCAATGAAATCTGAACTGGGATAAGAGGTCTGAAGAATGGAGACTGGATCTGGTTGGGCAAAGGAGAACATGACTAAGACAAGTAGCCACGTATGGTGGGTGTGGCAGAGCACCTTTGGTGTCTACCACTTTAAGGCTTGAGAGCAGGCAACAGGGTGGCCTGCAAGTGTGGGCTAGCCTTAATGAGGCAGTCACATGATCCCAGGAGGGACCTAGGATTGGAGGAGGGGGCTGAGCAGCCTCCATTTTAGATATAAGCCCTCAGGGCTGACCCAGCAGTCCGCTGCTGGCAGCTGGAGAAATACCACCTCGCTGAACTGCTGCTTGCAACATCTCAGAGGTAAGGGCAGGAGCTATGGAGATGGCAGAGGGCTCTTGGTCTTGGGTAGGACCTACAACTTCACTCTGCTGGGGAAGGATTGCCTGGTGGGACTGCCCATGGTGGGGTAGTTCCCCAGAAATGCCAGGCCAGTTGCCTCCCCAGTGGAAGGTGGGTAGGGGTGCCTTATAACCCCAGCTCCCACTACCCAGTGAGTAATTTAGAGAGCAGACACAGGGGAGGCGGGGACAGGCATGTCTCCGGACACGTGAGCCCCATGGGCAGAGTGCCTGTAGACTGCAGAGAAGAGGGCTTAAGACTAGCCAAATGAGGGGCCATGGTGGTATAAGACCCCAGTTGCCCTGGCAAGGGGGAAGAGAGAGAAGCCCCACGGAGGGGACATAGAGTTACCCAGAGAGGGGCCAGTGGCTGAGTTCAGCCCAGTGTGGGGCAGAAGGCTGGCGGCCATGAAGAGTATAGCTGTGTGTCTACCGGGTACAGTATGTGAGTGAAGAAGCCTGAAGAGCCGTGTAAAGAAGGGCCCAAGGGGAACCCAAAGGTCTGCACTTAGTAGGGTGGGATGTGTGAGTCCCGGTGAGGGGCAGTATGAAAGAGGCCCTGTGAGAGGGGGCAAGTGGAAGAGGCCCTGTGAGAGGAGGTGGTATGTACGAGGCCTGAGAAGGGCAGAATGTTAGAGGCCCAGCAAAGGGGCAGAATTTTGTCTGGCCTTAGGCTGGAGCAGATAATAAGTCAGGATGCCATCTGGAAGACATGGGACATGGTATAGGGACAGTATGGAGCCGTGTATCTTGCCTTCGGCATCAAGGCATTAAAATGGGCAGCTTCGTACATTTTACATGAGTTTTTTAAAGAGCAAATCATGGCAGATAAGACTGGGTGGATTGCTCCACATAGGCAGGAGTGTGGGCCAATGTTGAGATCTGGCCCTGAGCTGGCCTCCTGTTACAGGGGGAAAATAGAGGAAAGGGATAAAATTGAATGAGATGGGACAGTTGAGGCTGAGGTTGGGAGTAGGAATGGGCAGAAAATCCTGCATCCATCCTAGAGCACACTCCCCTCCAGAGTTTGGAATGTAACTCTCGTTCTCTGAGTCTTGACGTTTCCTTGTTGCCACAGATCTGTGCATGTGTAACCCAGTGGCAAAGTGCATAGTTCTGGTGCCCATCATGTTTGTTCTAGTAGTTCGTTTTAGAATGGCAACATGCTATCAGGCACTCTGATAGCTGATGTGGCAGAGGGCTGTGTAGCAGAGTTTAAGTTTCCAGAACTGATAAGGATATCACTATAATGTCACATCATGAAATTCCTTTCTATGCTCTAGTTTTAAAAAATGCAAACTGAAATTACACAAGGAATTGGTTAGAAGAATATTGTTAAAGTCGCCAAGTCAATCAATCAAAAGTTAGGAAATGGCAGAATTAAAGTTATCCATATTGTCTTAATTCACCCTACCTTACACATCCATGGATATTCAGCCTTTAATTATGTGATCACATAAGATCTATACAAGCAGAGAACTCTGAAACTGAAGACAGGTAGTCTGTGTTTGTTGCAAGAGAGAAGTCAGTGGGAGACATTTAAGGTTGTGTTGTCAACATGCTGTTAATAAATATGAACAGCACTCCAGGATGTTCAGCCACTTAGAACACTTTTAATATGGCCAACTTGCATGATAGAATTACTTCCCATTGCATTCTTAGTAGACCTGGGTAGAGGAAGAATATTTCATAACACAGATATGGGGAATAAAACTATGGAGACTGAAGTTTCCTTATGAAAATATATTGGGCCTTTAAACATGTCTTGGCAGCTTAGAGAAACCCACAACAATTGGCTCTATTGTGCCTCAGGCTTTTTGACTGTCTGTACTTAGCCTAGGGCACACTGAAAATTAAGAAAGAGGGATTGTCACCAAGTCACTGCTGGCCTCCCAGGGTAGGCTATGAACATCCAGTGACTGGGGCTAGTTCAGATCTTGGCAAGGTAACGCTGGGATAGTCTCTCCTCAGGGTGAGGCTGTTCCTGTCCTCACTTGGTCTCATCTGCCATAGCTTTGATAGAAAAATTACAGGAGGTGGTGTTCAGCCTAGGAACAGTCATAATCTGTGGAGGGAAAAACAGCAGCGATCACCTGTCCCTTATAAAACTGTGACCCTCTGGACCAGTTAGTAGGCTTTAGGGGCCTGAATGGGAGCTCCTCCAACCCCTACATTCCCTCTGTGAACCTCCAATGTAATATAGTCTTTAGGACTCAGACCCTTAGGAGGGGTCTGCAGCCATTCAATGTCAACATTTATAGTCTTATTTGCACCCAGCCTTATAGCTGAAGGTGCCGGGTTCAGCTCCTGGAATATCCAAGAGTCTGTCCTGAATAAATATAACAAAAGGCTGCTTTTCACCTGTCTGGTGCTCCGCTTGCTCTGGAGTTCACTTACCGCTGTGCTTCAGTTCCAGGTGCTTTTTGGGGTTTCCTGCTGGTTCTTCACTCCAATCATGTGATGCTTCCACCACACATCTGGGCTGGTAATCCCTGTCAAAGGATTGTCCTGGCTCTGATTAGCCAATCAGTTACCCAATAGCAGCCCTGGTGTGGGGCTCTGGCTTTGCCCCCCAATCAGAAAGCTTGCTCATAGCAGCGTGTGCCTCTGCTGCCAGCACCCAATCTGACCAGTCTTTTGGACATGGCTGGGAGTGAGGGATGGCCCCAGTTCTGTTCTCCTGGCTCCTGCAGGGTCTCACCACTCAGGTAAATCCCAGATGCACCACAGGTAAGGAAGGAGGTGGGAGCGAGATGTTTCTCCCTTCTTCCCCACCAGCTCTGCCACAGAGTTCAATTGGTGAGAGATGGCTAAATCAGATATTTTGTCATAAACAAAGTGAAGATAATACAAATAAAACTTCATCAGCAAAACAGGTCCTGTAAAGAAAGGAAAGAGTCCAGGAATTTCCTTGCATATGTCACTACAAAGAACTTACTTTCTCCTACTTTTTTCAGTCTTAAAAAAATGCCTGCCTTTTGCTTTAATCATGTGTACAGTAAAAAAAACAACCCATAATTAATTATAACTGCTTCCTCCTACAACCTATTCATTGGAATGAGTAATTTCTATTCACCTCCCCTAGTTTGCAGCCTCTTCAACCCAGCCCTTAACAAAAGTCAAAAGAAAAAATGCACCCTATATCATGTCTATTCTTACCTGTTTTTGTAATATGTCCCTTGCTTCATAGATTAAAAGGCCCAAAGGGATATTTGTGATAAGCTAGTGTTCATTTTAAATCTATCTCCTGCTAATTAGTAGTATTCTGGGGCTTCATAAATAACAGTTCTCTTTCTTACTTTGTCTACACCCTTTATGATTTTATAGATTTCTATCATACCCACCCCTTCCACCTAGCCTTCTCCTTTCCAAACTGAAAAGTTCTGTCCTTTTATAGTTTCTCCTGATATGGAAACTGCTTCATACCCCTGATCATTTTAGTTGCCCTTCTCTGTACCTTTTTTAATTCTACAACATCCCTTTTGAGCTGTAGAGACCAGAATTGCACACAGGACTCAAAATGTGGGTGTAACATGGATTTGTACAATATTATGATGTTCCATGGTTTTTTTTTCAATTCTATGCTTAATGATGCCTAACATTTTTTTAGCTTTTTTTGGTCACCACAGAACATTGAGCTGATATTTTTTAGAAAATTTACAATTATTCTAATGCCTCTTTCCTGAGTCATAACATCTAGTTCAGAACCCAGTACAGTGTTGGTATAATTGAAGTTACTTTTCCCATGTACTTTGCACTTGTTGATACTGAAGTTCATCTGCCATTTTTTTCACACTCCCTTAGCTTGGTGAGTTCTTTCTACAACTCCTCTCCATCAGATTGGGATTTAATTACCTGGAATAACATAGTATCATCTGAAAACTTGGGACATCTTTACTGGGGGGCAGATGGTGGGGGTCTTTAATTAGAGTGACTCTCAGGAAAAAGCTAATCTGCTGTAATTAAAGTGCCTGCATGTATTCAGTGTCCTGTGCTTCAAAATGGCAAGCTTATTTAAAGCTCATTTGACAAACTTTAGTTAAAATGCCCCTGCTGCTATTTTGAAGTGTGGGGATGTTGAATACATGAGACGCCATGTATTTTTAAAAGAAAGCCTTATTTCTTGTATGAATTCTTTCTAGCTTCAAATTTCAGGTCCCAGAGCTTGTTACATCATTGGTTCTCTGATGTAAAAGCCCTTTCTTATTATTTTTCTGTTCCCCAAGTAGGTTTTTCTAGGCTGTAATCAAGTTACACCTTAGTTTACCAAAAAGTAAGTTAAAGCATGTTTTCCAGCCTTATCAACCACTTCCTGGAAGTGCTAGCACCAAAACAAGATACACTATATTAGTAAAGATTGCATCACTGCCAAATAAAGTAGTAATATAAATTTCCCCCTTCTACTTAGTATTCCTATTTGTTTATCCAAGTGTTGCCATTACCCTTTTGGCATTACCCTAGTAGCCCAAATTCTGTTGATTATTCCATTATATCTCTCATGTCCTTGTGAAATGAATCATTTCCCAGGAAAAGGCCCCCATCCTGTATAAAATCATAGAAAAGTAGGGCTGGAAGGGATTTCCAGAGGTCATCTAATCCAACCCCCTGCCTTAGGCAGGATCATCGCTATCTAAACCACCCTATACCAATCCCTTGTCTAACCTTTTAGTAACACTACACAGTCAACTCTGACACAATGCAACATGTATCACCCTAACGTGCACCAGCTAAAGCAGGGGGACCATGGCGATCAACATCCTGCTTCTGTAAAGGTGGTTAATGTATGCTCAAGAGATCTCAGGATGATCTCCACCAGGGAGGAAGGCAACGTGCCCCCACCCCTTCCCCACTCTACACACACACAGAGTCCATACCAGTCTGGCCATGGGGTAAAATTCCTTCCTGATGACAAATGTCTCAGTCCCAGGGTAAAGATGGAGGGGCAAGGTTCTCTAGCCAGGAACCTCCAGCTTTGGTCCCAACAGGAGCACTGGCACACCCCAGTCAAAATCCCCACCCTTGACTGCAGCCAACACCCAGTGCATCTGAGGAAGAAATTAAAAAGCCCTGATACATGTAGCAGTAGTGGGCAGGGAGTGAGGGATGGGAGGAATTCTCTTGTAGGCTCATAGCAAAGCCCAGAAGCATGGAATATACCCACAGTAGTATGTAGGCATACCTATACGTAGATCATCCCTGACCAGTGACCTTCCACCCTCTTTTTGAACATTTCCAGTGATGGGGAGTCCACAATTTCCCAAGGCAGTCTATTCCACTGTCTCACTGTTCTAACAGTGAAGATGTTTTTCCTAATATCCAATCTAAACCTACTTTGCTGCAACTCCAAGCCATTGATCCGCATCCTATTCTTTGCAGCAAGAGAGAAAAACTGTTTCCCCTCCTCTTTACAGCAGCCCTTCAAGTATTTGAAGACTGGTATCATGTCTCCTCTTAAGCACCTTTTTGCACAAACTGAACATGCCTAGCTCCTTTAGCTTCTCCTTGTATGACTTGCTTTCCAAGGCCTTTATCATTCTTGTCATCCACCTCTGGATCCTCTCTGACTTTAAAATGTGAAGCCCCAAACTGAACACATTATTCTAGATGAAGCCTAACTAGTGCTGAGTAGAGAGACAATATCATCTCCTGTGTTTTTCACCTAATGCTTTATTGATGCATCCCAAAATCATGTTTGCCTTTTGTGTAGCTGCATCACACTGCAGATTCATATTGAGTCTGTGATCTACTGGGACTCCCGCATCCTTCTCCATAATGCTGCCATCTTGCCAGGTGTCACCCATTTTGTATTTGTGTTTTTTATTATTCTTTCTGAGGTGTAGCACCTTTCACTTGTCAGCACTGAACGTCATCCTTTTAGCTTCAGCCCAGCTTTCAAATCTGTCGAGATCTCTCTGAATTGCATTTCCATCTTCCAACATGTTCACAGTCTTTCCCAGTTTTGTTATCTGTAGACTTGCTCAAGAATCTCTCTATGGCAGGATCCAAATCATTAACACACTGAACAGCACTGGACCCATGGCAGACCTGGGGGAGTCCACTAAAAACCTCCTGCCATTCTGAGATGGATCCATTTATAATTACCCTTTGGTTGTGGTTATTGAGCCAGTTATCTATCTATCTTATAGAAGTTTTGTCCAGCTCACATTTCTCCAATTTGTTTATGAGAAGGTCATGTGGGACCTCCTCAAAAGTCTTGCTGAAGTCCAGATACACTATATCCACAACATTCCCTTCATCAACCCAAGTAATTACTTTGTCAGAGAAGGAGATCAAGTTTGTTTTAGTATTAGTAAATCCATGCTGGCTGCTTTTGCTGAACCTTTCCTCCTCCAGAAGTTTACACATGGATTTTCTTAGGATATGTACCAGTAACTTCCCAGGTATTGAGGTGAGACTAACTGGTCTGTAGTTTCCCAGATCCTCCTTGCCTTTGTTAATGAGGAGCACTATGTTGACCCTTTTCCAGTACTCTGCTACCTCACCTATCTCCCACAACTGTCAAAGGCTCCAGCATCTCCTCTGCTAGTTCCCTCCGTATCCGGGGATGAAGTTCATCAGGCCCTGGTGACTTGAATTCATTCAGATCCTGAAAAGCTCTCTGACTGTCTCTTTTGTTATCTCATCCCTTGGCGTATCCTCTTCCTTATCCAAATAATCCATATTAGGTATCTGGCTGCAGCTCTTTTTATTTTTTTATGAAGACTGAGGCAAAGTAGCTGTTGAGTAGCTTTGTCTTTGTTGCATCTTCTGTTAAGAGTCCCCCCTGGCTAGTTAGCAGTCGACCCACAGCATTCTTGGTTTTTTCTGGTCCAACATAATTATAGAACCTCTTGCTGTTGTCTTTAACTTCTCTTGTCATGTGCAGCTCATTTTTTATCTTTGCCTTCCTGATTTTATCCCTGCAAGTTCTTTTGATTTCCTAGTATGCTTCCTTTGTGACCTGCCAACTTTTTTCATTGCCTGTATGCTTTCCTCTTGCATTTTAGGCATCCTAGAAGCTTGTTGTGCAGCCATGTTGGTCTTTTGCCATTCTTCTTATGCTTCCATCATGTTGGAATAGTTTTTTGTTGGGCTTTCAATACCATGCTCTTTAGAGGCTCCCAGCCCTCCTGGGTGCCTTTATCCTTCAGTCTGTAAGTATGGCCTGGTTGGGTTTTTTTCAGCTGTGAGATTTCAAATTTGGCATATTCATTAAAACACAACTGGTTTGCTTGATCGCTTTATAAGTAGGGATCTATCTAAATCACAGTGGAAGTTCATGGTGCAGCAATGCCTTTAATCTCAGTCTTTTTGTTGCATGCTGCTCCCTCGGCCCCCCAGCTGCTGAGTGGCCAAGAGGTAATTAATGCTGTGGTTTTTGCTTCTCAGCAACTCTGTGGCAGGGGAAAAAAGAAAGCTAAAAGGCACTGCTGCTCAGTGAACTTCTGCTATGATTTAAGTAGGTCCCTATTTATAAGATGATCCAGCTGATTCTGTACCAGTGACCTATCCTCTTTTCTCATAGATTTCATAGACATTAGGGCTGAAAGGGACCTCATGAGATCATTGGGTCCAGCCCCCTGCCCAACAGGCAGTAAGCCAGCTGAGGTTAAATGACCCCAGCAAGATAAGCATCCAAACACAATTTGAATGTGTCCAGAGTAAGTGCTTGCACGACTTCTGGGGGGAGTCTGTTCCAGATTCTGGAGACTCTGACAGTAAAAGCGTTTTTCTTTATGTCCAGTCTAAAATGGTCTTCCATCAGTTTGTGACTGTTGAACCTAGTCTTCCCTAGGGGAGCCCTGATGAGCAGACGTTCTCCCAGGTCCTGATGTACACCCCTGATGTACTTACAGGCTGCTACCAAGTCCTCTCTAAGCCTACGCTTTTCCAAGCTGAAGAGTCCCATGTCTCTCAGCCTCTCCTCATATGGCCTGCTCTCTTGACCTCTAATCATGTGTGTGGCTCTGCTCTGGACCTCCTTGAACTTCTCCATGTCCTTTTAATAGTGTGGAGCCCAGAATTGGATGCAGTACTCCAGCAGTACACCAAGGTGGAGTAAGGTGGGAGAATGACATCTTGGGTCTTGTTTGAGATGCATCAGTAGATGCAAGCCAGGGCTTTATTTGCTTTGCCGGCTGCAGCATTGCATTGGTGGCTCATATTCATCTTGTGGTCAACCATGACCCCCAAGTCTTTTTTGGATGTAGTGCTAGTGAGTGAAGCACTGCCAAGCCTATAGTATGGTGTGGGCTCTTTCTCCTGAGGTGGAGCATCTTGCATTTCTCTATACTGAAGGTCATCAGGTTTCCATCTACCCACTTTGCAAGCCTGTCTAAGTTGGCTTGAATCCTCAGCCTAGTCTACAGCGTACCTACGCTTCCCCAGTTTGTTGTCATCTGCAAACTTAGCCAGTCTGCTTCTGACACCTGAATTCAGATTAATAAATATCTTAGAGTAGTGTTCTGAGTCCTGAATTCTGAGGGATGCCACTGGTCATCATGTGCCACATTGACTCGGTTCCATTGACTGTCACTCTCTGGGGCTGACCACAGAGCCAGTTCCCCAGCCAGTGGACCATGAGGTTGTCAAGGCCACAGCTCCCCAGTTTTGCCATGAGGACATCGTGGAAGACCAAGTCAAAGGCTTTTCTTAAATCCAAGTATATGACATCAACCACACACCCCTGTCCAGGTGACGTGTAACCTGGCCATAGAAAGAGATGAGGTTGGTCAGGCATGACCTACCGATAATGAAGCTGTGCTGGCTGTCTCTCAGGATGGTGCCTTCTGCCAGCCTGTTATTGATGGATTCTCTGATAATTTTCTTGAAGGTCTTTCCAGGGATTAAGGTCAAGCTGATTGGCCTGTATTTCCATGGATCTTCCTTCCTTCCTTTCTTGAAGATAGGTACCACATTGGCCCTCTTCCTGTCTTCAGGAACCTCAGCTGAGCACCACAAGTTTTCAAATATCCACACCAACAGCCGAGCTAAGATGTCAGCCAACTCTTTTAGCACTCTTGGGTGCATTTCATCAGGGCCCACTGACTTATGGATGTCCAGCCTCTCAAGGTGCTCCCTCACAATGTGTATGGTAGGTAGGTATATGGTCACCTGTACCCTTGTAGTCCTGTGTCCTGTCAGGCAGGGTTATCCCCTTGGGCTGGTGGAAAACTGACACAAAGTAATCATTGAGGAGATTAGCTTCTTCCTGGGAGTTGGTTGTTAGCTGTCCCAATTAATTCAACAGGGGTCCAATGTTGCCCTTATTTTTCTTTCAATTTCCTATGCATCTGAAAAAGGACTTTTTATTGTCTTTGATTCGCTTAGCTAGCCTAAGTTCAGTTTTGGCCTTGGCTTTTCTGGTCCATTCCCTACAGGTGTGGGCCAATGATGCATAATCCTCTTTAGGCATCTCTTTTAAGATTAAGGAGGTGCATGAGTTCCCTATTTAGCCAAAGGGGTTTCTCAGCCCTTTTACTCCCTTTCCTGCAGGCCAGAATGGACTTCCCTTGAGCTATTAGGATCATGTCCTTAAGGAGAAACCACTCGTCTTGGACTCCCTTCCCTGTCAGATCATGATCTTTCAGGGCCTCGACAGTGCACCTCCAACTTGTCACCTGAAAAATTTTATTAATAGCAGTTTTCAATTTGTTTTCCAAGTTCTTTATAAAAAATGTTAACTAGTGCAAGCCCAAATACTGAACCTTTCAAGACTCATCTAGAAATACACCCTCTCAATGATGATTTCCCATTTACAATTGCAGTTTGGGACCTGCCAGATAAATGCTTTTTAATTATTTTAACATATGGCATGTTAATTTCGTATCATTTTGGTTTCTTAATCAAAATGTCATGTAGTACCAAGACAAATGCCGTACAAAAGCTTATTACATCAACTCTCTTTCCTTTATCAACCAAACTTGTAATCTCATCAGAAAAAAAGTTAGTTTGACAGTATCGATTTCCCACATACCCATGTTGATTGGCATTATTTATATTACCTTCCTTTAATTCTCAATTAATCAAGTTGTTGTGCTATCTGAGCTCAGGCCTATTTAAATAAAGCAAATGTGAAATTCACTATGCACTTTCTATCTTTTCTTCATCTAGGGCTTGATTCTGAAAGTACTGCACCCCCCCGCCTCTCTTTAAAGCTAAGAGATGAGGGTCCTTAGTGCCATACCCTTGGAAAAATCTACTGCATTATATTCTCCAAATATAAACACTTAGGAAAAACCTGTGCAAGGAGATGCATTTTATATTTTCTTTGGAAGGCGGTAAGTATCGCCTGAAAGGGAACATGGCAGGTAATATGGCAGCTGTCATTATACAGATTCTGTATACATGGGAATATAGAACTCTAGAGACCTTCAAAGTTCCAGATAAATGCAGCTGTCAGAATAGACATTGTATGAAAAACCTAAGGAGGATATAAAGAAACTGGAAAGGACTTGAAGGTAAGCAACAAGGATGGTAAGAGATTGGGATGCAATTCGTATGAGGCAAGTTGAATGGAACTAGGTATGTTTAGTTTAGAGAAAAGGAGATTAAGGGAGGATATGACAGCTGTTTTAAAATATTTGAAAGGCTGCCATAAAAAAAGAGGGAAAACAACCATCCTTCCTTACCCCCAGACAGCAGGACACATGGCAATGATTTTAAACTACAGCAAAGCTGATTTTGATTAATTTAAAAAGAAGTCCTTTTTTAAATACATAGGGGGTAAAAAGAAAGTACCGGGTAATGTGGGGCCTCTGCAGGACACGCAAGGAAATCTGGTTGTCACACCAGACAGCAAAGCTGACCTATTTAACAATTTCTTTGCCTCCATTTTTCTGAGTATGGATCTTGTCATCCCTCCCACTGGGACCTCCGTAGGCCCCATGGGAGGCACACCCAGGCCTAGGTCAGCAAGCAGCTAGTCAGGGAACTTCTGGTGGGACTGGATGTCTTCAAATCAGCAGGTCCAGATGATCTCCACCCAAGAGTGCTGAGGGAACTAGCAGAGGTTATTGTGGGACCTCTGGCACGGCTTTACAAGCACTCATGGTGCTCTGACAATGTGCCAGAGGACTGGAAAAGGGCCAATGTGGTTCCCATTTTCAAAAAAGAGAGGAAGGAGGACCCAGGGAACTATAGGCCCATCTTACCTTGGTCCTGGGGAAGCTTTTTGAGAAAATTATCCTGGCGCATGTCCATGAGGGACCAGCAGAGGAAACTATGTTTAGGAGCAACCAACATGGGTTCATTAGAGGCAGGTCCTGTCAGACCAACCTGATGGCCTTCTATGACCAGGTCACCAAATCCCTGGATGCAGGTGTCACGGTGGATATAGTCTTTCTGGACTTTAGGAAGGCCTTCGACATAATCTCTCACCCCACTCTCATTAAAAAACTAGAAGACTATGGTGCCGATGCCTACACAGTCAGATGGGTCACTAACTGGTTGGAGGACTCCACCCAGAGAGTGGTGGTGGACGGGTCTTATTCAACCTGGAGGGATGTGGGCAGTGGGGTCCCCCTGGACTCGGTCCTGGGGCCCGCACTGTTCAACATCTTCATCAGTGACTTGGATGAGGGGGTAAAAAGCACCCTGTTCAAATTTGCAGATGACACTAAGATGTGTGGAGAAGTGGACACGCTAGAAGGAAGGAATAGGCTGCAATCAGATCTGGACAGGCTACAGGGGTGGGCAGAA